ATTATGGGCCGAGAGTTTGGTTATATCACAGATTATGGGCCGAGAGTTTGGTTTTATCACAGATTATGGGCCGAGAGTTTGGTAATATATCAGATTATGGGCCGAGAGTTTGGTTATATCACAGATTATGGGCCGAGAGGTTGGTTATATAACAGATTATGGGCCGAGAGTTTGGTTATATAACAGATTATGGGCCGAGAGTTTGGTAATATATCAGATTATGGGCCGAGAGTTTGGTTATATCACAGATTATGGGCCGAGAGTTTGGTAATATAACAGATTATGGGCCGAGAGGTTGGTTATATAACAGATTATGGGCCGAGAGTTTGGTAATATAACAGATTATGGGCCGAGAGTTTGGTTATATAACAGATTATGGGCCGAGAGTTTGGTTATATAACAGATTATGGGCCGAGAGTTTGGTAATATAACATTTTTAGCGTGACATTAACATTATTATTTTAACATACATTAAACATTAGTGACATAACATTATTATTTTAGCGTGAAGTGAGTTTGTATCACGTATGTAATGTTGTCCTCAGCTCACCTCAAAGTGATCGGTGAACTCCTTGCAGCAGTTCCCTATAATGCTGGAACTTGGTGATCACAGACAAACACATCCTCCGAACCACTTGAATAATTCAACAGCAACTCCACTCAGTATCCGGGTCGAGGCGCAGTTCAGTCCATTAGCCGCCCGGGACAGTTTGGTCCACCAGGTCTGGTCCGCCTGGCTCGGTCCACGGAGTATATTGAGTGCCTTTAGTTTGATCCACTGTGCCTGGCCCACCAAGTGTGGTCCACTGCGCCTGGTCTGTGAGTGTGGTCCACTGGTTCATTGAGCTTATCACCATCCGTGGTTCACAGAGGGTCACTCACCATCCGTGGTTCACTGACCTTCACTCACCATCCGTGGTTCACTGAGGGTTACTCACCATCCGTGGTTCACTGAGGGTTACTCACCATCCGTGGTTCAACTAGTCACTGAGGGTCACTCAGCATCCGTGGTTCACTGTGGGTCACTCACCATCCGTGGTGCACTGAGGGTCACTCACCATCCGTGGTTCACCGAGTCACTGAGGGTCACTCAGCATCCGTGGTTCACTGTGGGTCACTCACCATCCGTGGTTCACTGAGGGTCACTCACCATCCGTGGTTCACTGAGGGTCACTCACCATCCGTGGTTCACTGAGGGTCACTCACCATCCGTGGTTCACTGAGGGTCACTCACCATCCGTAGTTCACTCACCATCCGTGGTTCACCGAGAGTCACTCACCATCCGTGGTTCACTGCAGGTTCCTCTGCTGTATACATAAGGTGTTCAGGTAACGTCCTGTTCTGTGCCTGTTCTCGTGTATTATACTCATCACTGTATTATACAGCTTCTTGGAATGTTTAAGAATGATCTTAGAACAATGGACTTGCCTGGAAGCACCGGTGGTCGTACTGACGAAAATTGTCGTGTTACTTATTTTCATTGAATAATCATATTGAGAATATTTCCCTGAATGGGTTTTTTCGGGGGTTTAATGTTCTTTGTGCAGGCGATGAGTCACAATAACGTGGCTGAAGTATGTTGACCAGACCACACACTAGAAGTTGAAGGGACGACGACGTTTCGGTCCGTCCTGGACCATTCTCAAGTCGATATCGACTTGAGAATGGTCCAGGACGGACCGAAACGTCGTCGTCCCTTCAACTTCTAGTGTGTGGTCTGGTCAACATACTTAATGTTCTTTAATGGCACGGTTTTGAAATTCTCTTCTGGGAATTGATCGCAGTGGACCACAGACACAGCGAGGAACTAGAGCTCTCAGACATTACTGGTATCTGTGGACACAAAGTCAAGCGCTACAAACCAGTAGGGGGACCGATTAGTAAAATATATAATCCGACATGTTGTAGACATTAGTGTAGACGACATCATGACACAACTACTGGCAGATGGCATTCCAATCATCAGAGTCAAAAAAAAAAATATGCCAAGAACAAACGGAGAACTGAGTGATACAGGCACTGCCCTGCTTACCTTTCTAGACTTCATTCTCCCTGATAGTGTTTGGTTTAACGGCTTCCTCCATAAATAAATAAATAAATAATAAATATGTTTATTCAGGTAAGGTACATACATACAAGTGATGTTACATTAATGGATTGATATATAGATAGAGCTAGTATATACAATGCCTAAAGCCACTATTACGCAATGTGCTTCGGGCAATAGCTAGAGGCTAGAGGTGTATGTACCACTTCCCACTCAGTGCTTTAGATGTAATGGTTTTAACCATATCTGGGAAGGCTGCACCATAGACACTAAATGTGGGATCTGCTCTGGTTCATTCTACACGCAAGATTGTACATCAGATACTTGTACATCAGTGAAGAGCAGAGGTGCCATAGGCACAATCAGAGAACATTGTGTAAACATCAGAGGTCCGCGGTTGTTCAACGTCCTCCCAGCAAGCATAAGAAATATTGCCGGAACAACCGTGGACATTTTCAAGAGGAAACTAGATTTATTCCTCCAAGGAGTGCCGGACCAACCAGGCTGTGGTGGGTATGTGGGCCTGCGGGCCGCTCCAAGCAACAGCCTGGTGGACCAAACTCTCACAAGTCGAGCCTGGCCTCGGGTCGGGCTTGGGGAGTAGAAGAACTCCCAGAACCCCATCAACCAGGTATCAACCAGGTATCAACCAGATACACTCACCTGCTCAAACTGTGGTGGCGATCATGACATTATATTCAAACAATGTCCTCCATACATAGCAGCAGCAGCAGCAAAAACTAAGGTTCTCCCTACCAACAACCTGCAATACAGTAGTGCACTGAAACAACCTAACTCAACCCATCATCAACCTCACTCAACCACAACCTTTGCGTGTACCTGATATGTCTGTTACCGACAATCCCACAACCCCAGGGTCCAACCATCTCTCACAAAATGCACAACTGAGTCCTGAACTAGTTGAAACTCTTGTCACTCGCATTGAAAATTGTCTTGTTGAAACTTTTGTCACACGTGTCGAAAATGCACTAGAAAAGACGCTGGACCGACTTCTAACTAAATTCTTTACACAAGTAACACAACCCACCCCTGAGGCTGACCCAAAAGACATCCCATCAACAGTCACAGACACTGACATCCGCCCAAACAAAGCTACCATTGTTGAACACACACATCGTTTGAACAGATGATGGGAAAAACTCCTTAGCACTCCTTACCAAACTCACTCCCCAGGCTGACTTGCCACAAACCCAAACCGCCAGTACCAAGAGTAAGACACAGCCCCCTCCCACATCTAGGTATCCAACACGTATTACTATCGGCATACCAAGGAAAACAGACACATCCATAACCCAAACATCGTAAATGCCTCCCCTGACCTTCATAACTTGGAATGCAAAAAGCATTAAAACATCCCTCACAGAACTTAAACAACTCCTTTACTCATCCAAACCGGACTTAGCTTTCATAACCGAATTCTGGCTCACCCCTAAACAAAATCCTATATTTAAAAGTTTTCAGATGCAGAGACTGGACAGACCCAACCGCAGGGGGGGTGGTATTTTTCTCCTAACACGGAATAATATGACATGTAAACCTGTAACACTTACGCATTTTGTGAATGGTAAACTGGAAATTTTAGCATGCTTAATACCTTACAATGATACACACATATCCTTTCTGGGTATATACAACCCTGGCGGTACAATAAACTTAACTGGAATTCTATCGTCACCAATTACGACACCCAATCACTGTTGCAGGCGATCTTAATACTAACTACCCCACATGGAGTAGAGATACCCAAAATTCTGCAGGCACCGATCTATATGAACAAATCCACAAGGGCTGTGACGAGGTTTCGAACCTGCGTCCGGGAGCATCCCAGACACTGCCTTAATCGACTGAGCTACGACAGGATTAAAAGGGTTGAAACCGAAGTTCTACTGAACTTACTGGATCCCGTAGCCTCTCCGAGGCACAAACCAGGCTTTTACACAACCCCCCCCCTGCACCCGAGCTATGTCAATAGGCCCTTTCAACCCGGTCGTAGCTCAGTCGATTAAGGCCTGGGAACCTGTGTCTGGGATGCTCCCGGACGCAGGTTCGAATCCTCGTCACGGCCCTTGTGGATTTGTTCATTTGATGCATCACGTTAGTGTGATCTCTGTGTGTGATGATGTAAGGGCGAAGAGGGAGACTATGAAAAAGAAGAATCCTGTAAACTTATCGTTGTTCCTGCTAACTGTTGTTGTTGTCATTCAGACTCACCACTCACACAAGTTATTTACAAATAGGAACATGATTCTTCAGCCCCTGGTTGGCGTCTCCGCCTCCCACCTCACCAATTAGAAACTTGCAGGGTCGTTAGTTAAAGTTGGATCAGGTTAAAGTTGGGACGGAGGAGTGGTCAAGGCAGGAAGAGTGAGGGGGGTCATGAGGCTTCTCATTCATTTACCTTTCGTCTCTCATTCTTTCATTTGTATTTTAAACTTAAGTTTGATATGAGATATACTTAGAAAGATTTGTTTAGCGTTATATTAAGCAATATAACGCTAATATAATAATAATATAATGCTAAATAACATAGAGGTGTTATATTGTTTGAATTAGTGAAAGATTGAATGATTAGTTTAATATTGCTTACATAAATGCAGTGAAAGTTATGGCAATTGAAGAGGAAATATTGTTTGCATAAACAATAACAGACAGGAACAGTTACTCAGCTGGTGTTGATGACACGTGACAGTTACTCAGCTGGTGTTGATGACACGTGACAGTTACTCAGGTGGTGTTGATGACACGTGACAGTTACTCAGCTGCTGTTGATGACACGTGACAGTTACTCAGGTGGTGTTGATGACACGTGACAGTTACTCAGGTGGTGTTGATGACACGTGACAGTTACTCAGGTGGTGTTGATGACACGTGACAGTTACTCAGCTGCTGTTGATGACACGTGACAGTTACTCAGGTGGTGTTGATGACACGTGACAGTTACTCAGGTGGTGTTGATGACACGTGACAGTTACTCAGGTGGTGTTGATGACGCGTGACAGTTACTCAGGTGGTGTTGATGACACGTGACAGTTACTCAGGTGGTGTTGATGACACGTGACAGTTACTCAGGTGGTGTTGATGACGCGTGACAGTTACTCAGGTGGTGTTGATGACGCGTGACAGTTACTCAGGTGGTGTTGATGACACGTGACAGTTACTCAGGTGGTGTTGATGACGCGTGACAGTTACTCAGGTGGTGTTGATGACACGTGACAGTTACTCAGGTGGTGTTGATGACACGTGACAGTTACTCAGGTGGTGTTGATGACGCGTGACAGTTACTCAGGTGGTGTTGATGACACGTGACAGTTACTCAGGTGGTGTTGATGACGCGTGACAGTTACTCAGGTGGTGTTGATGACACGTGACAGTTACTCAGGTGGTGTTGATGACACGTGACAGTTACTCAGGTGGTGTTGATGACGCGTGACAGTTACTCAGGTGGTGTTGATGACACGTGACAGTTACTCAGGTGGTGTTGATGACACGTGACAGTTACTCAGGTGGTGTTGATGACGCGTGACAGTTACTCAGGTGG